AACCCCCTGAGCCTGTGGCAGCCCCCTCGCTGGACTTGCCAGCACGGGGACAGGGTCTACAACCCAGCCATGGCTGGTTAGCAGAAGCCCCTCCACATGGATTTAGAAGTCTAGGTTGTCACATTTCTGAAGCCGCTCAACCATGCCGGGGAGCCCGGCGTGTATGTGTGTGCGTGCGCGCTCACAAGAGTGTTCTGACAACAGCTGTTCCCCGGGCTGTTTTGCACAGTTGAGATCTTGGCAGTTAATACAAAACGTTAGGTTGTTTCCCCTGTCCTAGGGTTCTGTTAAAATACAGACATCAACATCTGCCCTGCGTTTTACGTGTTCTGTGCACATAATATGTAGAGAATAGCAAACGCTCAGACATCAGTTAATTCTCCTCCCCCCAATATACAAAGATGTGGGCCCAGAAGAGGGACCCAGGAAGCGGGATAAGAGGTTCAACATCCATCCTTGTTTACAAAACGCCAAGGAAGTGGAAATATAATTACGAAAAGTTGGTAGGAGAAGGGCGAAGACCGAGGTTGAAGACTAACAAACGGTGCACTTTCCGAGGCTGGGGAACGTGAGCCAAGAACGCCGCGCTGGTCCTCTTTAGCCCTAAAAATCCAGTCCTAGCTCCCCTTCACTCCCGCTGCTGACTACGACCTGTGCGCCAACCCCAGGGGCCTGCAGTCCTTTAGCTGCGGGCACGCAGAACGCTGCTCTCAGCTCCCTGAAAGAAGCGGACGAGAGCAGCAAGCAGGCCTCCTTCCTTGAGGTTAGCTTCTCAAATGAAAAGCTCCGGTCAGCCCCCAAATTGCTTCCAGCGAATTTGGGGAGACTCAAGGCGTTTCCACGGAGAAAAAGAAAACCCTGTTAGAGCAGTCACAGAGTCCCCCTTCTCTCCGCGGGCTGGCCATTCCGCAGATCCGCTCTGCCAGCCTCCCGCGGTCCGACCCGACGCACTTACCCGGGTGGGGCTCCAGGCCGTGTGCGGCCGCGTCTTCGGTGTCTCCGAGTGGGCCCGCTGGGCTCAGCGCCTCCATGGACAGGTCCAGCCCCTTCTCCTCCCAGTCTCGCAGTTTCCGTTTTTTATTTGAGCCGATCAAAGCTTCAACGGAGAAGGCATGTGCTCGCGAGCTAAGGGCAACTGCAGATCTTCTCCTTTCACTCATCTTAGCCGCCCGCACCCCGGCCTCCCTTGCCCCCGCTACTGAGGGAGCAGGCAGCGCCCTCAAGCTCGAGCGCCCGCCGGGCCGGGCCCGGGAAAGGCGGCGGCACGGAGGCCGAGGCTAAGGCGGAGGCTCCGCGGGTCCACTGCACCCTCCCCTCGCGTCCTCCCCCGCCCTCCGCCGCCAGATCAGACCCGAGCCCCAGCTGCCCCAGCCGCCAGCAAAGAGCGCTCGGAGCGCCGCCCGCTCGCAGCGTGAGCGCCCGAGTCCTGCTTCCCACCCACCCCGGCAGGCGCTCACAGGCTGTGCCGAATGGACTTCATCTTTTTTTTTTTTTTTTAATTCTCTCTCTCTCTTTCTCCCCTTTCTCTCCTCCCTCTCCCTTTTTCTCCTCCCTCTCCCTCTCTTGGTCTTCCCGTCCTTCCTCTAATCCAAACTTCTGGGAAACTTTTTTTTTTTTTTTTAATTCCTCCCTTCCCGAGGACTAGGGGCAGGCTGTGCGCTCCTGTCCGAGGGGTGAGGGAGAGGGAGGGGGGAGGAAGAAAAAGACTGAGGGGAAAAAAAGCCAGCCCCCAGCCAATGGCGAGGAGGGAACCGGAGAAACCCTGAGAGCGTGGGCCAATGGGAAGTAGGGAGAGACTGAGGCTCGGGCCTGGGCCAAGCGTCCCCTGGATGCTCCCGGGCCGACTTTAACCCCTAGCTTCCCAGTTCCCCAAGGGTTATTCAGGGAGAAGGGGGAGATCTGAAAGTCAAGGCCTGACCTGCGGGGTTACCAGCTCCTGCGAATCCCAAATCCGTACGTTTTCCTCCCAAATCGAAGGGTCTCATAGACGCTGCAAAGTCTGAGTCATTTGGGTTGCTGATACGCAATCTGGGGACTCTGACAAATGCTAACCTGTCCAAAAACACCGCCAGAAAACTATTCTGATAATCTGATGCCTGCGCCTCCCACCCCCAGGTGATTTTAGAACTGCCGATTCCGCCTTAATTTCACCACACAGGTTTTGATGTTCCTGTTAAATGATTCTAAGCAACTCTGGTTAAGCCAAAACGAAACAAGCAAACTATAAAAGCCCCGTTACTTCCAGGGTCTTGTAACTGGAAACCCAAAGGCTGAGTCCTCCTTCCAGCTTACCTGGTGGAGGAGACACAGGCGCCCTGAATACCGGCGGTGGGCGTAGGGGCGCGGGGTTTACGGTACACTCCAGAGCAGATCCGGGCTAGGCCCGCACGCGGCAAATACTCGCTTTCCCTACAGCGCGGACGCTGGGCTGTGCTTCATCTATTCTGCTTTCTTGTCCCAAGAACCCACGGAGGGGTAGCAAATGAGGGCAGCTAGGAACTCTGACAGCGAATAATTTTTTTTTAATTCCCTTTACGTCGCAAAGCTTATAGAGCCTGGCTTTTCCCTCCCTGGGGATCCTAGCTCCATTTGATTTTTAATCATCCAGGACAGTGCCTTCGTCCGAGATTTCTGAGTAACTCAAAATCCCACACTCCTGCCATTCTTGCTTTTTAAGCCCCCTCCCAAATCACTACACTCATCTCGGGCGGCAGGCGACCCCAAGTCAGTCTTGGGTGGAGCAAGCTCAAACCCGACCGAGAGGTAGGTCCTGCCAAGCTGAAAAACGTCTCGGATTTCGCCGACTGCGGCCCAGCCACAGCCTAATCTTCCCGTCCGAACGCCCTACTCCAGACGGTGAAAGCCCCGCGGGAGAAGCCGGAAAGAGACCAGTCCCGAGGACCGGCTGGGCCAAGACAAGCCGCCCCAACCGCCACGTCCTGAGCAGGTCGCAACCCCAACGTTCAGGCTGGGGGTAGGAGGGCCACAGCGAGACAGAGGCCCACCAGTCCTTCCCCAACAGGGAGACAAGAAGGGGACGCTCTGAAACTCGGCACGCTCCACCCGCCTGGCCTGCGGAAGGCCCAGGAACTCGAGTCCTTGCTGTTAAGTTGAAAGCGCTCCGCGGCTGGACCTCGTGCCTGAGTGCTGTGAATGCACCTTCGGCCTCTCGGAAGGAGAGTTAAAAAGGCTACTTTAGGATCCCCCGCTCAAACTGGGCTTCAATCCGGAGGACAGGAAGCTATTGGCATAGCAAATACAGAAAGAATGCTGGAAAGGCCACCGGATTAGTGTGATTCAGACAGGCCTGTCCTCTGGGCCTACCGGGAACCTGCGTCTCAGGCTTGGCTATCCGCCGGGAACACGTACAAGAACCCTGGGCAGCTGAAACTCCGGCATTGAGCCTCTCTGTGTCTCTGGACGCTCTGCAGGGCAAATTCCGGGAGCCCAGGCGGTGTTGAGGAGCAGGATCTCCCACCTCCGGCAGCTACTGGGCGTTTCTTCCTAGAGCATCGCAGAAGTGATCGTCGTGCATTCGCTGGGACCCGACTTCAACAAGATTTGGAGGGAAGGCAGCCCAGGAGTGCACAGTTTCCTTCCCCTGCCGCTCAGACCTCGCTCTTAGATGGGGACTCTTCTGTTATCTGCCTTTGGCTGGAGCCTGCCGGGCCAGGCCCGGTGGGGTAGCAACTGGGCCGTCCTCTAGACTTTTCCAGCTCTTCCCTCCTCCCAACCGCCTGTATCTCCCATCTTCCCTGGCACAGTCTTGCATTGGCACTCTCTCACAGGTCTGGTTTGGTTTGAGAAGTGGACACACCATAGGCCGCAAACCTGCCTGAGGCAATGAAAGTTTCTCAAAAAATAAATAAATAATAATTAAAAAAAAACAGACTTTCCTGTTACTGGAGAACTTAAATGTTAAATGTAGGTCTTGAGGCCTGAACATTGTATCTGTCTATAGCCACAACGTCTAAAAGACATACACAGAGAACTGATCAACACCTTCTACCCCTGGCATTTGTAGCCCATCTCAAAGCCCACACTCTGCTCCCCCAGAGGGTGCTCAAAGGAGTTCTGACACCTCTCATTCAGATTGCACATAGGTTACTCCCACCCCCTTTCCCATATATACACATATCCTGAAATTGCAGGTGGGGCCACTAACACCAACTGGACCCAAGTGAAAGCAGGCTGGTTTGGCACAATCATGAAAACGGGGTTTCCTCTAGGCAAATGGGAGGGGCAGTGAAATGTTCTGGTTAATCTACGTTTTTCCCAGGGGCATGCACTTGGTGCATGTGACTGTGTTCACAGGAGAAAGGTCTGGAAAAAGACTGGGCAAGATGGTTTAATGTGTGTGATTAAGTGTATAGTCATATGTGGCTGGGGAGAAGGGTGGGCTGTGGGAATTAAATGTAGGAATTTGGAAGTGTAGTATGCATTTTCCTTCCACTGATTATGTCAAAGGGTTTGCAAAAGCTCCTCTCATTACCCCAGTTTCCCTCCCCTTGAAATATTAGGGATAAGCATGGGTTCCCCAGTACATGCGGCCGATTCTCTAGGCACCCCTCCCCGCCCCGCCCAGGTTTCCCCACTACAGGCTTAGGGTGGATCCTGCAAGAGATGAGTCCATTTCAGGTCTATTTCAGACCTGAAGTCGATTGACAGAGACTAAGCTAGAAGGCTCCCACTTTACCCCATGTGGGATCCCAAAGCTGGAGAAAAGGCTGTTGGGTACTTGAGTAGTCAGAGATTGGTAGAGCTTTGCTTACCACCTGTAGAACATTTGGGAAAGTGGAGGTCCAGGGCTAGCCTTGACAGCAAAAAAAAGTCAGGAAGGGAAAGGTCACATTGGGACTGCTCACCAAACACTGACCAACTCCAGATATTCAGATTTTTCTAAAGAAAAACAGAGTTCTGAAGCATCAGGACAAGTGTCACAAGCACAAGCAGGCACTGCCAGAAATAGAGCCCCCACATCCTTCACAAAGCTTTTTCTTCCATTACCCCAAACCCAATACCATTTCAAATAACCACCAGTGCTAATGCCTCAATACCAAGGTGCCCCACCGGGTGAGCTTTGATTGACTCATTGAAAACAAAGTTAAAAACAGTTGGCCTGCACAACATACTAGGCTGCCCCTAGATACGTGAGCAGGACACCCTGTGGGACTGAGGGAATTATAATGAACTCTGCCATCAAGGTAGGTATAAAACATTATGAGGCGACTACAGGGTGGGAAGAAACCATCCCAGTCCCAAGTCCAGGTGGAACCTGGTGACAAGACCCAGTGTGACCCAAACTGTGTGACTATAGGCAAGTTGATTCATGGCTTGTACCTCAGTTTCCACGTCCTGGCTGTGAAGGGGTCCTAAATCCTTTACAACTAGGCCAGGCAGGTTGGAGGGACCTGATTGAATCTTCCAAGACTGTGAGGCCAAGGTTCTCACTTCTCACTTCTTTTCCCAAATTGGCGCCCCAGTGTAACAAAAGAGCATAAAATGGGGCTACAGAAGTAGCCTGGAGGCTCCGGTGAGGTGGGAGGGAGTTGATTTCTGGACCCGCCTGCCCAGTGCCGGTTCTACAGAGACAGCCTGGGCCCACTTCACTTCTATAGACCGCATCTGGAGTTGCCAAGTCCGTTTGGGTCGTCGATAGTCGTCCAGAACTGCAGGACCGTCGTATATCGTTGACTCTTCAACTACCCCCTCACACTTTTTAAAAATTAAAGTCCGTTGGGGCAAAAGGTCTTTAATGATGTTTTTTTGTTTTCACGAAATAAAATCTTTTATTTTTATTTTAAACCAGCAGCGTGCCCACCTCTCGGTTCTTCCAGATGTTTGCAATAAAATCGCAGGTTTTGCCTTTGGGACTGGAAATAAAATTTAACGGCCTTCACCCTGTAATTATTCTCTTAGCTCGCCCTTCATAAATTTATCTGCTTTCTATCGGCGTTGGGGCAAGAGGCGAGCGAAAGGGGAGAAAGCCCCGATTTTATATTTGCGACTATAAAAAAGCACCACCCGGTTTCCTCGCCTTCGGCCGCCGCGGTGTGGCCGGGAGACGGGCGGCAACATTGCGCTATTGTTCGCTGACTCGGGTCTGCGCAGGAGCAGGGCCCCACCACAAAGGGAGCCTTGTGTGGCCATGCCGGAGCGGCCGCGCCCTTCAGGCGAGGAAATCCTGTTCCCCCAGGCCCAGCTCCTCTTGCCCTCCCGGCGTTTCGTGCGGAGAGGCAGACGG